GAACCAAGGTTATAGAACCCCATAAGATTGTATGCTCTTTCATTCTAGATACCTTCCGAGAAGATCTAAAATGGGGCCGATCCTCGTTCTTATTGCACCCCGTCCTTTGGATGTAACTTAATTCATGTGTTCATCTGTTTATGAAGAGTTAACATTAAAATAAAATGCTACTGTATGGCTAATTTCTTGATCTGGAAAGAGTTATTTTAGAAATATGAAGGGCTCGTTAAAAGAAGCTGGCGACATTTTTCAGTAGGTAACTGCTTGTTCTGTTCATGTGCATCATAATCGCAGTACTGAAGAAAAGAAAAGCCCCTAGTGAATGTACTTGAATTCGTATAAGAAATAAAAGAAAATAACGTACTTCTTTCATCAGTTTCTAGGGAGAAGGATAGAGATATCTTGAAGGAAATGAACTATATAGACAGCCACATCGATAGTGACACATAACATTCTTTTTTTTTGTTTTTCTCGGAAGTTTTGATAAACGCGTTTAAACGCTTTTATCTTAAAAAACGCGTTTGAACGCTTCAAATGTCTCATTTCTAGGCCGTTTTTAAGCGTTTGATGAACAAAACGCGTTTGAACGCTACTTGTCAGATAAACGCGTTCGAACGCGTTGGTATAGAAGCGAAACAAAAGGCGTTTGAACGGTGCGAATGTTTCATTTTTAAGCCGTTTAAACACGTTTGGATTGCGTTTATAAACGCCGTTCGTAAACGCGTTTTTTAGAGCCGAAATTGTTACATGGGTAGACCTGTTTGTTTTCCCAAAAGATGCGCGGTCAAATTCTCTACAGAACTTGATTAAACTTATTTCTATAGAAAGTTAAGGAGAAAAATTAAACGAAGAATACCCAAGACGTAGAAACCGACTTCCAAAGCTATTTTGATTTACAATTTTTAGAGTATTTTAAACAACTCTAAAGGCAACAAAACAAAAGTGAAAATATTTTTGAGTACTTGGAAGTACGCTCTTTCTTGTCTTGCAGTTCAAAGTTCGTTCAAATCAAAATGGGCCTTGAAAAATCTAACATTCCAAATTCTATTTAAAAATAATCAAAATCTGATATTTTTCGCCAGCTGAATTTAAGAAGAAAACTATAAGGTAAGCTTTGAGGCAAGTTTGCGGCACTGAATCTGATACATGAGTCATTTCTCATCAAAATAAAAGAAATTCGAGCTCAAAAGATGCAATTTTAGCTTCGTTATACGACGTTTTCCATGAGCTCTGAAAACTACTGGTTTGCTTAGCTGAATTTTCAAAATTCTCAAAGAGGAGAAAATGATGCAGGTTTCAAAGAATGATTTAGCATTTTTCCCTTAATACTGGTTGAAAGATAGAGCTTTTCAAAGGCTGTCAAATGCGTTTATTCTCTTCTTATCTCAATTAGCTCAATGAAAGTAGTTGGACAAAATGAGTTTTCAGCTTAGAAAGTTGGTCGGTTCTATGTCTTGGGTATTCTTCATTTAATTTTTCTCCTTAACTTTCTATAGAAATAAGTTTGATCAAGTCTTGTGGGGAATTTGACGGCGCATCTTTTGGAAAAACAAACAGATCTAATGATTGAAAAGAACAAAACTTATTTATTTGTCTTTCAAAACAGCTTTATGTCAGTATCTCTTTCAGTGAAACATTTTGTCACTTAAGGATTTATATTTGTTCTTTTTTGTTTATTCTTTTTTATTTTTGTTTTCAAAAATTTGTTCTTTTTTACTGCTCTTTTTGTGTTGTTTGGCTTGAGTCCTTGTTATTACAGATCAGTGACCTTTGATGACTCTCACTTTTCGTGAATAAAACAGTCTTAGTATTAGTTATAGTCAAAATACTGAGAGGTCTCTTCTTTATGTGCCACCCGGTAGGTTCCATAGTCTCCGTTTATCACTACAGTCACTTTAATCTATTTTAGCAAAGATACGATGCTGCAGTGCAGAACAGAGACTAGCATACAAAGGCTTGCACGATTGATATCTCCATTTGAGCTATCGAAAGTCTTAGGAAAAGAAGGTGAACTACATTCTTCTTTATCGGCCGGCCGTTAGTGGAAATATTTTTAATTCACCTGCAACCTGAAACCGCAACCTGCCTGCACTGTCTGCAACTTGCAGGCAGTTTACCATGCAGATGATCAGCTCTGGTATATATGCAGGATCGATCGACATTAATGATGGATGATTGTGTCGATACGCTGTATTTTGCGATGCTTCTTGCGATAAACGGGTGTTTTCTACGCTTGGAATATGAGAAGCACAGGGTTGGTTAGATGAATTAAAACGCATTCTGGTAGAAGAGCGGGAACGAGAACGAGATCCACTTGATTTACTGCGCGATGATGGTCGACGATTTTTGATTTTCTTTCTCTAGCCAACTGATGAAGTATTGAAAACGTTTTTGTACAGAGAATAACCCAGCCATCTTGCCATCTTTCAATCTTTTTTAAGTCTTTTTTTCTTCTTTGTTAATCTTTTAATCTTTATTATTTCGATGGGAAAATAAAATGAATTATTTTAATCTGATTATCATTCTGACATAACCAAAACAGAATTTTCGTCAATATCTCCCAAAATTCATTGACGCACAAGTGAAACGCTTACTATGAGATTTAAAACTATCCACCCTCGACCAACTCTTTCAGACTCCAAATCTCACGCAAATCCTTGTTCATAAAAAGCCTTCACGCAAAATTTTACAATCAAAATAATCAAACTATTTCGCCATCATGTATAACTGATAGAATGAGAATGGGCACCCATCAAAATGCTCAAAATGACCTCAGAATATTCTAAATCTTATCTCTGAATAGAATGTTATCAGCACAAATAATCCTACCATTCCATTGCTTTCTTCCCACATGTTGAATATGCCAGCTACTTTTTATCGTCTCCTCTATGCCTCAAAATAGCAGTGCACTTTTTTCCACATATTCATTTTCGCAAAAATCAGTTTTAAGCCTCAGAAGCAATGCTTTTTGGTACCGAACATAAAAACATCAATTCAGGTGTAATCAACATTGATTTGCATAACGTCATTGAAAAGCACAATGAACGTGTCCATTTCAACTGGCGCGATATTGTGATTATGATCATTGCGTTAATTATCATTGCGTTAATTATCGCTGCTACCATTGGATACTTCATACTCCAATTTATTAAAAGACATGTAAGAAAATATCGTGCAATGGCAATCATGGCTGAAGTTGATAGAAGACGGGCAACAGCAGATGCTACTTTCGCCGGTCAAGTACCCTATATCATCCCAATGGATGACTACAATCAGCGGCCCCGGGTAGCAACGTCTCCTCACACACATATACAAAAACTGAATACCGCTTCAAAGTCGTATGAAGTAGCCTCAAGACAATTACAAGCAATGGGAATAGAGCAACAAGCCGATTACTTCTGTCTCTTATAGAACTTTAGTTCAGATGTTTTTTACTCACTTTTTCTTACTCTCCAATCGCGATAAAAAACACTCACTGCAGATAATATTCCGAACTCACTCTGCCCCCGCCCCCCTGTTTCATATGCATGAAAGTTTCTGATACAATTCCTTTTATCCAATCTTTTTAATTTTTTAATTTCTTTAATTGTTCTGCTTATTCAAAATCATCATCCAGTCCTTGCCATCCATAATAAAAACCTATCATTCAATTTCCTTTCCTATATCTCACCAATGTTTCCACGTACAAGTGATAAACCTACATATCTGAGAGAAGATTCATTTCTCTCTTTCTTTCCCATACTATGATAGCTTCATTTCTTTCTGCTGCTCGCATTCCACTACCGAATCATCAAAATATTTCATATTCTTTTTCTTACCACTCATATACTGCATGCGTAAACAGTTATGCATCTTTCTAAAGTATTCTTCTCTTATCTATTCATTCTATTCACTTTATTAACCGATGTGAATCGCATTCCCCCTCATTTTCTTTCTCTGGCCAACTGATGAAGTATTGAAAACGTTTTTGTACAGAGAATAACCCAGCCATCTTGCCATCTTTCAATCTACCATCATCTCAAAGTCTTTTTTTCTTTTTTGTTAACCTTTTAATTTTTATGATTTCGATGGAAAAGTAAAATGAATTATTTTAATCTGATTATCATTCTGACATAACCAAAACAGAATTTCAGTTAAATATGGTTAGGTTGCTCAAAAGAAAAGTTTCTGTACGTTGTTTGTGAATTCGGAACATGAAGTTTGATTTACAAAAACACTTATCATGCCATTAAGAGACTTTGCCGTACTCAAGCGTATAAAACTCGCACTTTATTACTGGAAAGACATGACGAGCTTTTTAATTTCGATTTTACTACTCCGAAAATTATGTACCGCTAACAGCTATGTAATTTTGTTAGATACACGATTGCTCTGTGTGTACGCTGGAAATCGACGTGAGAAGCCATTAGATATCAGTCATGCAGTATCCCTGTCGTTTCTATGCGACTCAATCAGTTTTAGTAGAAGAGCACGAGATATAGTATGGGATCTTTTTTTTGTTAGAGATTTTGTCCAGCCTGAAAACAGATATATACCGAAATGAAAATGGAGGGCTTCCGTGACGAAGTTATAGACATGACAGATTATTGTTTGATTTCACGAGTGAGTACTCCGCCAACGGCGGCACCCAAGAGCTTAAAAAAGTTTTAGAACGGGCGTTCTGACCCCGTATCAAAACTTTATACTGGATCCAGACCGCGTACTGAGGCTGATTTATTTACATTCTACCCGTTCCCTTGTGAAAGAGTACGGGGCGTACTTTTAGCCGTTCACCCACACCCCATATCACTAGGCGTTCTCCCGTGGAAGAGTACGGGGCGTACTTTTAGCCGTTCACTCACACTCCGGATAACTAGGCGTTCTCCCGGGGAAGAGTACGGGGCGTACTTTTAGCCGTTCACTCACACCGAGACT